TCGTTATAACTAGGTCCTAATTAGCCTATCATTTTTGCAAATAATAAATGTAGCTCTCTTAAATGCAGTAAATTGATTTTGCACACATAGGCACGTCTCAGTTCATTAGGCCTATGTTCAGAAATCTATTAGTAGGCCTATAGATCGTAAACAACATTTTTTTTATTTAAATAGTAAAAAACGTAGGCCTACGTTAATAGATTTGGATGGTATTAATGTATTAATACGATAGGGATTTGAAGGTTATTTCGAGGATAAAAAGCATTGCTTAAATTCGCATTGGACAGCGAAATAAATAGGCTTATCAATTTTGAAAATTGAGCAGGAATCCTTGCTATCTCTTTGATAATGTCTGATAATTTGATAGGCCGTGCGTCCAATGAATTTTTTTTTTTTTTTTTTTTTTTTGCATAAATCAACTATTAAGGCGTTTTTCTTCACTTTTCTACGATGAAACAGTTATGGTATTGTGTTGGTTCTCGGTAGCCACTTGCTAAAATCTGGCGAAACTCGGCGATGTGATATAGGCCAAATTTGACAGGAAATAAATTAATTTTAATAATAGCCTATTAATGCGTATTTTTCTTATATTAGTTCTAATGTTTCGTTAAAAAAGTCATGCATTTCATATTTTGGCAGTATTTTTGCACTCTTTTTGTGTAGGCCTAGGCTATGGTAGACGAAATAGGCTACATTGCGGAATTTAGCCTTAACCTAGTTCAGCACCTTTGGACGTGACAGCTCCCGAAAAGATGTTTCACTGTCTGCTTAATAATGAACTGTTTGCTTTCTGGTTTGTGAAACTGTTTTGTGAAGCACTGTTGAGGACTTTATTTATTTCACCATAGACATTTTTAAAATAGATAATTCGAGCAGAATCTTTTTTTTTTTTTTTTTTTTTTTTTTTTTTTTTACTGTTAATCAAGTTTGTCGCAGTAAGGTTGTCGTGATGTAAGATTATTTGTTGTTCTCTATTTTGCAGAATGAATGATGAAGAGAAATAGGACTAATGCACTGGGCCACAGCCTCAAGAGGACCACCCTGCACCCCCTTTTCCTATAAGGTTTAGGCCTATTTGCTGGACGCTACTCAAACACCTCACTAATCTGAAACAGCCTAAGGGCTGCCATATTTTTAGATTAACAAAGGAAAAATCAATTAGTCTAGGATGTAGTGAATCAATAATCTTCCTAATCTCCGCGAGGATAAACGTAATAATAGCAAGGCTATATAACACTTTTATGGGTGCTGTTTACGCGTTTGAGAGGATTACGATTACGCTTCTAACTACATTCCCCAGTTCCAGATCCATGAAATTGATGCTGTTAATCTAGGATAAAATATGAGTCGTCATTAAATGGGTTTAATCGAAGTGAACTAAATAACTACCTTCGATGAAGTAGGTAGTCTATATCTTTCATTCAGAGGAGAGGATACATTGAAGATGCCGAGTTTTTGCTGATATTTGAATGAAACCATTGCCTGTCTTTAATATGAGGGGACAATGTGTCCCCGTGTGATGTGACACTTAAGAAAGAGCGCTTTATTTGTTCATCGCTGTGAATGCAGGAATCTCTCCACACCCCACGACTACCGTTCTAATTTGTCTGGCAAGCTGGAGGACGCGCGCTCAGTGCGCTGTTGCTGCTCCTGTTGCTCTGGCGCATGTGGCTGGATTCCCAGGGATCCCCAGTGTTCTGCAGCTTGCGTTCCTAACATCTATGACCCTTCAAAGAGGCCGTGAAAACGCAAGGCTCCTGTAGTCAATAGTTGTCTACCAGTCAACCTTTTTGAATACCAGGTCAATAAATGTAAAGTGTAGAAACAATAAAAGCCACTTGACAGGCGCGTCGACAAAGTGTGGTGCCTTTTATCGTTTTACATTACCCAACACGCGAGGACCAGTGCCAATCACATTGTGTGGCTTTTGTTTCAACAATTGTTGGCTATTTGTTGCTGAAAATAGTTTTTTTTTTTTTTTCTTCAATGGCCCAATGTCTTCCATGGAAACCAAGTCAAAAATCATGTCCTCTAAAATAGCGGCGGTTCAAGAGGCTTGGCACACCTTTCAAGCCCATATTACCTTGTTAAGTAGTCCAATTATTGCCATTGATTGATTCATTTAATCTGTCTTTATATTTAATCCTTTCTCTAATCCTGTTTGACACAAAGATTAAACGGATTAGTAGCGATTTCCACTGAAATAAATTGAAGTTCTGTTAACTTTGTCCTCTCGCTAATCCAAAATGTTTCAACTGTAAAAAAAAACATCCAAGTTTTCCTAAAACTTTTAAGTCATTAACTTAAATTACAATAACCTGACTTAAAAAATGAGTTGAATCTTGTATAACTTATATAAAAACATTATTTAGATGAGTTAAAACAATGTAAAGCATATGTTGTCCTAACATATAGGCTATCATATGCCTATGTTTTACAGTGTATCATTAATAATAAATATTATAATTATTATTATCCATAGTTTTTAAGATTTGTAACGCGTCGGTTCTTGCTGCTTGCAGTCTTTACTTGCCTCGTGAATTGTAATGCACCATGACATGAAATAAGACGCCTGATTTATTACGCTCATCGTTGTAATATCTGTTCAAAAATCCATGTGTTGCTATTCCCAGGCCAGCCCAAGGTCTGCAGCCGCGGTCGCTGAGATATGTGACATTGCTAAATTGATAGCGCAAAGGTGACGGTCACGGTCCTGTCTGTGCTTAATGGCTGAATGACTCGCTTTGCTGAACAACCGGTGCGCGTTCAGGTGCCACTTGTGCCGCTCCACAGGTGCACCATTCCAAATCATGGAGAGTTTATATGCACTTGAACGTGAACTTTCAAGTGTGACCCTGAGTAAATAGTCGTTCAGTGACTTTTTTATGTTACATAACCAAAATGAAAAACAAAATCATTACTCACATATGCCTCCTGAAATTGAACTGAATATAGTAGAATAGACATTTTTTGGGAGAAATACGTTCTGATGTGTTTGCTCCTCGTCCATTTTTAAACTTTCATGCAAGAAATTAATAACGGTCCTCTTCCAAAAAAAGTCATTTATCAATACCTTTTTTAATATTCTAAATACGCGTTTTAGCATACAAGCTGTACGGCTGGCTCTGTTCATTGACTGCCGGCAGTGGGTCTCTTTGAGTGCAGAGCGCGCAAGTGGTGTGATTCCCACGGATTGTCCCTCGCGTTGCAGCTTGCAGCGGGGTGCAACAACCATACACTCACCAGACCCCTTTTCCCTTTAACTAACAAAGTGGCCCCCTCCATGTTTATTTGAACAGCAGAGAATAAGGGTTGTTTATGGGCTCCAACCAGTTAGCATCTCAGGTACCAGCATAATTTGTTGTGAGGTGTCTTACAAACCTCCTCATTGGCGACCACTGAGAGGCACACTGCTCTTAACGCCAGTACCAGCCCCTACTTAATAAAACCATACCCGCTGCTTGTCGTTTCTCCGCTGGTATATTTACTCTTGTTTATTCAAGGACTTAATGATGTCTCGTGGTAAAAGAAAACATAAAAGCACCCACTTTATTTATGACAACTCTTTTTCTTTTTTTTTCTTCTAAAAATCTATGGGAATTTGGCATTAAAAAGTGTGGTGGTCCCAACTAATTGAACTGCAGTATTTATTTAAATGTACTTAAATAATAATTATAATAATAATTGCTGCTATTTTTACAGATATGTAATCGTTTAATAATTATAACATTATTTTAAAGCAGGATTTATACAGAATACATTGGAATGTTTTTTTTTTTTTTCACGGTGATGTTTTTAAGTTAAACCAATTTAATAAATTATCATTTATTTATTATTTATTTGTTATTTAGAGAGAGAGAGAGAGATTTATTTATAATGTTTATGAACACAATATTTCAAATTCTTCACTGAAAACTGCTTTTTGGTTTGTGAACCTGTGTAAACACCAACATCTTTCAATGAATTTTCGCATTGAATATCTCAGTGTTAAATGGTAACTAACTTTTTAGAAAATTGAGAGACAGTGGTTTAATTTCTCATTCTGCATAAATTCTCATTTTGCAAACGGGGCTCCACTTAATGTAGGCTACAATATTCATTCAGTCAGTGAGAGTCGTTTTTATGTTTGTTTTGCCTTTCAATATTTTTCCGTCTGTTGAACACGTATTGTTAAAGATATAGTCCTCAGGGGGACTATAGGTTGTTCGTATTGAAAGCTGAAAACGCCTTCGCTTTACCACTGGAGCTCTCGCCTTATTCTTGTGATTGTTTCTTCAACAGGCGAGTGTCCACTGCTTTGACACAAACGTGCGGCCAGACATCCTACAACCCGTGATTGATGAGAGACCTATTATTTACCCTTTCTGCCTCTTAAATGACAGCTCCTTTCACTGACATCACTCATACACAAATGTTTGTGCTGTATTGTATGGACCTCGTGGACAACCAATGGGGGCTTTAACATAGCTGCATGTCTTGATAATTAAGAGGCCGATGGAAGGGGCTTCGCCCACGCGAATGGTGAACGCTTGAATTGTTACCTGCTTTAAGAGGAGCCTCAAGGTGACAGGGTCAACAGTAGGCATACCTACCTCCCTGACCCCTTAATTACATGATAACTGTGTGCACTTTATGCACTCACTGTTAATGGAGGAAAGACAAACGGGCAGACAAAACTAATATTTAAGTGTCAATAATAAAGAAGGCACACCATGTCCCTTAACTGCTATATATCTCTTTGTTTAACATACGAGGAAGGAACCGACACATTACCAAATACCACACAATAACTGTAAAATTGGTAGGAAATTAATGATATAGGCTACTTAGGCTAATTTTAAATATTCGTGCATTGCAGTTATATAAATATAGCCTACATTTGGTTTTCCTATATTATTTTGTATCATAAAATAGTGTGCTGAAAAATCACACATTTCTGTCATTTGGGTGGATTGAAGTCTATGTAAACGATATAAAATTATTTAAAAATACAAGGAAAATGTTTTGCCTCATTCTGGTCATTTATTAAGGTTTGACTGGGACACTGACGGAGAGATTATTTCTGATACAGTTGTCAATATAGGCAGGCGCTTTGTTGACAATTTAGGAGCATGCCCTGCCTCGGTGTTTTGGGCTCAGGGGGCGTGTACTGAGGGGGATGGCCTGTTAACATCCCTTATTCTAAGGTGAGCTGCATCGGCTGCGGACGCTGGGGATGCTTTGCGCTGATTGGCTGGCGTTTACGATCAATGGCACGCGACTATGGATGTAGTTATAAGAGTCCTCGCGTGCCGCCTTTCAAACCGAACCAACTCTTGAGCGTCAAGAGGAAAGCGCGAAAAGTCGGCGATTGTTGTTACTGGGCAACACCAACACAGCACAAAAAAATGGACACTGTGTTGGATCCATTCACAGGCTTGGACTCCTTCTCCTCCCCTTATTTCGACGACGATGACTTCTTCACGGACCACTCGTCGAGAGACCACTTGGACACAGACGACTTTTTGGACGAGGACGTCGATTTCCTCACCAGTCAAATCCAAGAATATTATAAGGACAGTCGGATAGCGCAGGACGGAGACTACTGTGACGTTGGCAACTTCTCCTTTTCCTCGTCGTCTTCGACTTTCTCGTACGGATGCGCTGACAGCACCTCGGAGCTGTCCCCTCACAGAGACGGGCTGTTACTGAAGAGGCGGAGGCGCATGAGATCCGAAGCGGAGATGCAACAGTTGCGTCAAGCTGCTAACGTCCGGGAGCGACGGAGGATGCAGTCCATTAACGATGCGTTTGAGGGACTGCGATCTCACATCCCTACCCTACCATACGAGAAGAGACTTTCAAAAGTTGACACTTTACGTCTGGCAATCGGCTACATAAACTTCCTTGCAGAACTTGTGCAGTCCGACATGCCAATCCGGAACCCACACAGTGATACTTTAAACCAACCTAAAAAAGTCATAATTTGCCACAGAGGAACAAGTATGTGTAGTATTGTTATTATTATTAATTATTATTATTACTACTATTGTTGTTAATGCTGTTGTTGTTGTTATCATCATTTAAACAACTCTTATCTTCTTTTTTTTTCTAGGATCCCCATCTCCAAATGACCCAGACTACGGGTTGCCTCCTCTCGCCGGACACTCTCTTTCATGGACTGATGAGAAGCAGTTAAAAGATCAAAACATCATTAGAACAGCGAAAGTCTGGACACCAGAGGACCCACGAAAGTTGCACTTGAAATCATCCATAAACAACATTGAGAATGAACCCCCCTTTAACTGTATTTCCTAAGGCAGTGCCGTTATTATCCTGTATACACATTGTGTAACTGAATTGTATGGATATATCCATTTATTTTTTGTTTATTTGTAATATATTATTGTGACTATCCGTTTTTCAGCTTTTTAGTCTGAATTGAACATAAGGCCACTGGCAATCATTTTGTGTTGTATTTAATTGCTTTAATTCTGCTGTAATATATTTTTCTAATTTAATACTGATTTTATGTCAAACAAAACATATTTTTATACAAACGAAACACGAAAAATATTTGCCTATTGTCTATATTTATACTGATATGACTCAATAAATTTGTCTGATATCCCACGCTCATGTGTTTGAATCATTCCATGTCCCAGTATCCCTATTTAAACAATTCCTACCATTAAATAGACCCCCAAAATACATATTGTTTGTTTGCTCAAGGCTCAACATCAGTTTAAAATATCAAAATGAGTATAAATTAAATAATTTAGACAAACATACATCCTTTGGTGTACTATATAATTATATTTTTATAATATGATTATGTCAACAGAGCAGGCATATATGATGATATATCTTGTAGACAGGTCATCTTTTATTCTGCAACAATGAATAGGCCAGAGCAAAATCGTGCGATTAACTGTAACTAAAACGTGGTTTCTGAATAGATACTTTAACGTGAGGTGTGAAGCTTGGATATGGTGTGCAACAACAGCTGAAAGATGTCACTATTTATCATTATGGAAATCTGACGGACCCTCGCTGTGACGCTGACAGTTTGGGTGAAAAATAAATAAATAACTAAACAGGAGAGGAACGAGTATGTTTTAAAGTGTTGGTCCAAATTGCTAAAAGAGGCATGACGTTTCCTTTGCCTTGGGCAGTTGGCCTGGGTACACTGCAGGTGCTCAGAGGCAAAATTTTCCCGTGGTATCCACTCGTGTTCTATGTACCCAGTTGTCTCTACGTCAGCTCTCGCAGTTATTAAGAGGTTGCCCAAACACATGTCCAATGTAAACTCATGAAGAGCTCTTGGAGGCTAATATCTTGGATGGACTGACTGGAATCACAGGTATTTATTTAATACGATCATTTTAAATCTCATTTGTTTACATTATAATGTCTGTTCTTGTTTGTTCAATATGTCATATCATTAATACATTGAGTGCGCAGAGTATCAAGTGGAAGCATAATTACATTTTTGCTGTTGTTAACTATTTGCGGTTCATTTACTTCCCTATTTAGTTATGTAAGTTTTTTGAAGATGGAGATGACTATTTAATTAGTGTCAACAATAATCCTCAAATTCTATTGGGAACTTTCCTAATGAATTAAATTAAATCTAAACTGATGGACATAATCCAACCTTTCCATGTATTAGCGCCTCATTAAACGCGTTGATTTCTGCTATCCAGGGCGCAAGACTAAAACCATGTAATCCCATTATGCTCATTAGAAAGTCAAATGTTAGCAAGTCAGACTTAACTAAGATAAAGGACCCCAAACGTATTATGGTGATTTTATGGCGAACTCTTTGCCCGTGGTAAAATTTCAACTTGATTAAGGAAAGACAGAGACCAAAAAAAAATAAAAAATGCGGCTATCATTGTATTTTGTCATCCTATACTAGTGAAAGGAGTTTTTCTAAACAGGCACAGTACAAAAAACCCTTAAAGCATCTTTTGGAAGAGCGCTGACGGAGCGGAAGAAAAAGGCTGATGCACTGGATCTTTTCAGGTTTCTATTTTGTCACTTTTGGGTTCTGGCTTGGCAAAGCTTAAAAGGCGACAGTTTATTGCTTGCAAGGTTTATACCCGTTCATTATGTGTTCCAACATCCCACAGGCTCTATTGCAAAGTCTGCGATTGTGGATGCCGGTGGGTAGCAGGGCGATTTCATATGGGCTTTGCGCAGTTTGGTCAGTCGTGTAGATTTGATTAATTATATACAGACAAAAATCACTAACTGACTAAAAATGTGAACAAAAAACACTCTTTTGCACTCTTTGTTCCTTTGTTTTCCTGAGTGCGTTAAAGCAGACAGATTTTGCGCAGTGAAATTTTAGAAAAATATGCTAAATGTACAGTCGCCGTCGTCAATTAGAGCCCCACCTATAATTATTAAAGAAAGTGAAACGATTACGCACGGTTTATAACTATCAGTGTCAACAATCTTACGATGCGCACTAAGCTGGGAACAACGCCTATCAAGATTCTCATAAGCTTTAAATCTGCTCATATTCGGATTATCGCCTGCAAAAATATGGAGGATAAGACTGAAAATCTTTGAGTCCAGCGCATTTTCATTAGTGCATGGCAACAGTGGCACCGGGGTGCCAGCTGCCAGCTTGAACAAACACCAGTTGATTCCCCGATACCCAAACTCTTTAAAGCCTACTAAATCCCCCATGTCCAAGTCGCATCTGGAGGGTACAGCGTAATCCTCAATACAACAAATATATCACTAATTATTTGTCCAGAAATATTACCTCGGGAGGGCACAGGCTAACAGGTGCTTGAGAAAGCCAGGCTCATCACGCACCCCGGGAAAAGGGGGACTTTTTTTTTTTTTTTCAAAGTACAGGCTGTCCAGGCGCCCCTGGTTTTACACGGTGCTGAGTCTGCAGATAATTGCCATGATATCTTTATTGCTAGGACTGTGTTGTGAGCTTTAATATATCCGTCCCTGTCGAGTTTCTCTTCGATGCACCTGGTATTTCAAACTTGTTCTTTTTGTGCGCCTGGGTCCTGGACAGCAGCTGCTTAAAACAAGCAAAGAGGGAGGCCCGTCTCCGTCTACAACGTCTCCAAGACGTGTTGGCATGGTTTTCTTGTCTTTAATGTACCATTAGCCTTTGTCTTAACACAATATGGGAACAGTAAAGCATGACGTGCGTTATAATAAAACACATTTTCAATGATCCACCCGGATTTAGGGCGCCAACACGAGCCAGCCAACAGTATTGTTTTGTCCTCCAAGTCCACAGGCAATAGACGCATTGCGCTGACTTGATCAAGCCATTAAATTTATGTCCACCAATTTTTCACGTGCAGAAAAAAGGACCGGAGCGCAGCCTCCCAAGGACTTTGATTGCCTCGCCATCACCTGGCGTTCCGTTTAGAGGGAAGGGTAATACGAGGTGCTTCGTAAAGTGACTCTCCGTTAACATAAGGCCCTCACCATCCTGCTCCATTGTTTTGTCTTGTTTATAACTCATTACCCGGATTTAACAAATCCTCCATTGCATATGTTTGGTGTCTCCATATTTTGATCCGTAAGATTAAGCAGATGTTACGATTGAAAACTGAAAAGTCCAAGGCTACTCATGTCTGAAAGGAGAAGAGCGGTCTCCGCGCGGGACTAACAAAGAGCCTTGGAGATCTTCAGAGAGACATTTACGACCAATAAACAGACTTCAACCTGCTCTATTTCAGCCATTGTGTCGTTTTTGAATAATTAAGGTTAATAAGAATAGGTTTGTATACTTTGAATGCCAGGACCACAGGTGCGGGGTGACGTGATGAATGATGAGCCTGATTTTTGCCAAGCTTAAGAGCCCTTCTCTTGGACCTTCAAGCTGATAGAAAATATTGTCATTTCTTTAATTCACAGCATTACTTTCATTCAGAACAAAGCCGGGTGATGAAAAGCTTATGTTGTAATGAAACACTACGTGGTGGCTGCAGTGCCTCAGAAAAGAAAGAGCGAGTCAATGCCCGGGCGCGCTTTGGTTTGTGCGCACGTAGTCTGCTCCATCTAAATCAAATAAAGGGAACCTTTCCAACTTTTAAAAGACCACGTTTTACCTTTATTATGGCCTTTACGGCTGTGTCCATTAAGCATATGGTGTGAAAGCAGCAGCCTTTGTACTGACGAAACCCTCGACACAGCAACCGGTGTCTATTGCGAATCATTTAACTTCTTAGCAGCCAAACAGGATCCAGGGAAACAAGTGCACAAAAGCGCGCACGCGTGCAGGATTTTTAAGAAAAAGAAAATATTGGTCAATTGAGCATAAAAGGAGAGAATGACCCCCTCAGGCAGCTCCTCGTTCGCTTTTGTAACAAAAGACGACAGTTCCCTCCAGAAAAAATAATGTTATGCCATGACAGTGGTCCATGGAAAATAAAACATCACCAAGGCAAGCTGGGTTTTTGCGCACGGGATGCCCACCTAACAAGAGCAAAATGGGAAGCTGGCAGAGTTTTGCTCGTCTGAAGGTGGCCTCCCTCTCTTCACCCCAAAGCTTGAATTCAGGAAAAAGACTTTCAGCAGAAGACTGTCCTCCATATTTTAAGTTACTTTTATCTATGAGGCGTTCGGTATGCATTTAATGTGCATATTTAGAATTTGTTTTTTTTTTATATATATATATTTATATATATATATGTTGTTATGAAAGTGCATTGATTTTTCCTCAATAATAATAAAAATAAATCGGTCACTAAAATGTGTCAAATCCTATTTTGTTCATGCAAATATTATGCAGGCTAAATTATGTTTTTTATCTATCTTGTGATCAGCGATAAGCACATCCGTTCAAAGTGAACATTTCAACCCATAGCCTACTTGAAAGTTAAAAACACATTATATAACCTCAGGCATGACATCTCTTAAATGTAATTATTATAAGATGATCATGATGATGATTACCACCATTTGTAATTATTAGTTTTGTAAATGATGACATGATGGTTAATCGACCGATTACAGCAATAATCGAATTGTATTGGTTTTTATAAGTCACGGTCAAAGCAAACTTCAAGACAATTTGGATTTAAAAAAAAGTTAAATCGTTACTTTAGAAGCCATAGCTGACCGTTCAAAACTTGCACTGTGCGTAAAATATAAAAATAGTCGTGGTAAACTAGGCAAAGAAGAAGAAAAAAATCTTTGAACTTTAAACTCATAACACAGGGTTCACGATTAGCCACAATAGTATCTCTGGTGCTTTAGAATAACAATTCAGATTGGTCGCCCTACACCAGGGACAGCTGGCTTTGCTTGGCCGTGGAACCCCATACCACCCTTGGTGGACCATACACAACGACACTGACCTTACCGCGGGGAAAGCCAAAATGTGCCTTTGACTGAATTAGCCTCAAAGACGTCTTGCTATGATCTTTGTTCGCCACAGAATGGACTGAATATTGTTCTTAATATGAGAGGCATTGTATCCAGCTTTTGCGTGCCCCATATGAAATATTACTGCTCCTTTATTCAAACTCTCGTATTTCAAGGCAGGCATGTAGTTACCGTATGCGGTTTTGTGTCAGTGCTAAGATATCCAGACCCAGCCTGTCAATTCATTCAAATGCCTGGATCCCATACTTTTATTAATGCATTTTGCTTTGTTTGAACCCATCGCAAGGGAATGCACACATATTCTGAAAGTTCTTCAAGGAATGAGGGCTTAGAAAACCCAGAACAACATGCATATGTTAATATGCCTGCTTTCCGCAAGGCATGCAACATGGCTTTCAAGAGGGCTTTAATAGAGAGTTTTAGTTTATGAATTCCCGTAAATAATTTTAGGCCGACGTGCAAATTATGTAATTTATTTTTGTTAGTAATTTTCGTGGCGTCATTAGTGTTTTCCAACAAGTCAGTGTGCTAAATAGATGCTCATAAACAGTCCCGTTATCCTACCATAGCAACAGCACGCTGATCACCGTGTTGCCAATTTATTGTAGTAGATTTACATTTCACAAATATAATAATTAAAAAAGGTGTTTAAGACTCCCCAACTTCCTTTAAGGGGTTCAATGTAGCCCCATTAATCGCTCTCTGGCTGGCATAGGCTATTTTTTTCCATGACGTGACAAAAATTAGAGAGAAAAAAAGAAAGACGTTTTTAAAACATAGCCTAGGCTACTTTTTTCCCTAATTTCCAAACCGCAGCCTTCTGCATATGAGAAGGGAACAGTTTCGCGTTGATAATTGATCCACTTTTTTATTCAGACTTCTACCTTCCGCAAAGAGACAGAAAAGTCGGCTAAAATGTGATAAATTACAAAAATGCAAATTTCATTCACTGGCGTTTGTAAGTGTGTCTATCTGAAAGTGAATAAGGCCTTGCAGTCAGTCTGCGCGCACTCGGGGAGCTCGGGACCCCAGGGCGCGGATCAAAGCGCCCCATTCTTTTTCATCCCCGGTATTCTCCCACAAACGATTTCGATACAATATGTTTCCATGATGCACGTCATGTGCCTGGGACGCAGAACTCGCTGCATCTCAGCTCAATGCGTCGACCGCCCTTTGTTCGACAGGATGGACTTGAGAGGGTTTTTCCCCTAGTTGCCAGGTTTCTAAAGTGTAAAAGCATGCATCATTTTTCACCAGGTCTCGTTGTAATATTCACAAAAGGGAATCTATGAAAACAGACCTTTCAGTTGTTCGCTGGCATGAACCTCACTGCTGTCCAACTGATTTCTCCCATTATAAGCATTTCTCAGCGGGGAGGTATTTGCAACACAAATGCAGAGTAACACACACACACACACACACACACACACACACACACACACACACACACACACACACACACACACACACACACACACACACACACATAATAGTATATTTAGAGTAAAGATGTCCAGCTTTATGACATTAATAAATGATTTCTCTGCAACTAAAAAAAACAAACAAAAAAAACATGAGAATAAATTAAGTGGGGGCTATACTATTACAGACGTGTTTTATTTATATTTTTTATTCATTTGAATTGACCAAATAATTTAACATTTTTATTTTGTTTGGTTAAGTTAGGAGTACCCTTAGGCAACCCCATTACCTTAAAAAAAGCTTCAATTATCTGTTCTTCAATTATCTTCCAGCTTTGAATGAACTTATAGCTGTGGCAGAGAAGCAAAAGCGTAAAACAGCAGCTCAGTGCGACTTGACCATAAGTTTAGAGTGATTGGCTGAAATGGCCTTGGGCCAGAGCTGGGAAAGCTTCCAGGCCAGACTCCCATTAACCCTCTATGGTGAAACTCTGCTGGAATCCAACACACCAGTCATCGCCATTTATCTACCAACTAATGAAACTAATTAATTTCTGGAGTTCAGCTAAAATTCCACTTTGTTGTTTTACAACCCAAGCCTGAAACCCTGTGAAAGTAGCAAACAACTTTAGTGCGATACCCCCTCCTGGGATTGTTTTAGCTAATGATATATATCTGACATCTTATAGTAGTTTCTATGGTAACTAGGCCGCAAGCAGTGTGGACCATGCTGGTCTGTTCAGTAGCACAGCAGTATGGAAAAGCTGTTTTGTGACTCTGGCAATGGACCAGTTAGTGGAAGATTACAAGGAATTAGGCCATAATCACATAATCCCTGAGAAAAGGGTCACGGCACAGTGATCAGGCTGATCAAGTCATAACCCAATAACCATCCGTTGTACATGACAGATAGTTAAAGGAGACATTGGTAATTGATTCTAAGCTTGTCCCTGAGGGTCAGTGGGGTCTGGTGAGACCAGAGTTTGGAGAACAGCTCTGCAGGGGTTTGCCACAGAAGGGACACTGTTTATACAGAACACTACAGCTACCAGCCAAACCACTCTAGAGATTTAGAAGGTCAATGGTACTACATTTCATTCTAGGTGATAGTAAAATGAACTCTGTAGAAATGTTGGATTTTTTAAAGCATGCGCAACACAACTAAACGTAAAAGTTGTGGCCATTTCTATGATCATTTATTCTGTACAGTGTGCAGCAGTGAAATAAAGACAGAGCGAAAGCGATGGGGGCAGAGCAAAACTAAAGACTGAAATGGGTTCGAGAGCCAAGATCTTATTGTTCGGCTTCACAGCCATTGAGATCGCCTCCAAAGCTGTGCATTCCGCTGGTTTTGTGCTGTATGCGGCATGCGGAAAGCAAAAGCCCATTCTTGGAGCACTCTTTAATGTGGCAGAAGAATGCATACAGTTACTCATGTCTGCACCTCTCCAACAGCATTCAGGCTTAAGAGCTGCAGTAGACTGAGTCCATTCACAGCACAGTCAATTACAGTCAGTTAAAGTCATGATAGCCTTTGTTTTCTCTTAATGGGAGCTCTGTGTGGCTTCACTATGGGGGAAATCGAATGAATTTACTTAAAGAGATTTGAAGTTTTCTCTTTGCTTTGCTTGAAAACATGCCAAAAAAGTTCAAACGCACTGTGGAGTGCCGTGATATCTTCACTGACAAAATGAATCGACTTTTGTTCAAATGTATGGAGTAGGAATTACTGTGCAAATGCTTTATTATGTAGAGCAGCTGATACAGATCAATATCCTGAAATATAATTATAGACTGAATTCTATTTTCACCCTAACTAGGTATTTTCTTCTTCAGATCAAAAACAATTAAAATGATTAATAAAGAAAAAAGTTGTTTTGCAATGTGACTATCATACATAGTCAAGTTTTGAAATGACACAAACATGCAGAGCACAGACTAGAGGCCCGTTTCACACCAAGGCAGATAAAGATATAGATCTAAAAATCGTTCTAAATATAAAAGAATGGCAGAGACCGCACCACAACTATTACGATAACGGCACAGAGAAATGATTTCATCAAAATCACTTTCAGAACGAATTTTTTCCAGCAATCAGAATCCATCCTTCTTTTAAGAGCTCAAGCGTTTAAAACACTAGTCGACAGCGATATCGTCCGCTGGTGTTCACACATGTAGTTATCGTTAGAGTTATCGTTCTTGGTGCCATTTCTATTTCAAATGTAGTGTGCTTTAATCTATAGTGTGGTTGCCTGTTTACAAGAAAGAACGAACTCCAGTTTATACTTCATCTTCCTCGTCTGCAAGGGTCACCTGGGAATCTGCAATTAAAGAAAACACTTAATTTAGAAAAAAAAAAAAGCTTAAAAACGCAAAGGAAATCTTTGGCATCAAATCAACAGTGCCCATTAAATGATCTAAAATACACCAAACAAGTTTGGCTTTCATAAAATAATCCAAAATGATTCATTTTATTTTATTTTAAATTACAAGGTAGTGCATAGTATTACCAGCCATACAGCTGAATATCACAAGTAAATTATAGATTTTATTGATATTAGAGCACCTATAAATTGTGATGCAGGAACTGTGGTTTTTACCATCCCAAGTCATTTTTTGTACCAATCAAGTGAATGCGAGTTCTGCCCATGGGAGGGGCAACATGACATTTCCCTGGCCGATTCAAAACAGGTCACGGACCCTCCATAGACACCAAGGCGGTGGGAGGGAGAACTTAACCACACCGTGTAACCGAATCAAACCAGTGGTTACCCCTTTTCAGCCCACTGGAATAGCCATAACAATACCATTCACATTGCAGCAGAGAAGACATGCTCCTTTGAGACTGACTGAGAGGCTTTTTATCAACTGCAGGGCTTTGTAGCCTTTTAGAGGAAAAACAAAAAAGAAAAAGAAAAAGCTCATTTTGAAAGTTGTTTGTTTTACTTAAGACATTTTATTTTATTTTTTTGGGAGGGTGTGGGTCTAAATATGAGGTAAAAGAGTCTTAATAATTGCTGATGACAGAATACATAGATTTAAGTGCAGAAAAAAAAGTCAAGCTCAGGACTGCCCTAGTGCTGACCTATGCCTTTCAGGTTGCTTGAACACATCAGAATTTCCATTGTTGAGGTTGATTAATTGAGTCTGATAAGTTACCATGAATGAAGATTGTTATAGAGTTTAATGTGGTGGGCCTGGGTTTGTAAATGCTTCTTTCAAATAGTTCTGCAGAAAAGCATATGGGCCAGACGTATTCATGAACAAAAAAGGAAGAAAAATTTATTATGGTTGTGTCCAAGCAGTCTTGTCCCCCTTCTTTTGATCATTTCCCGAATGACTTTGAATCCATGCACTTGCCATGAACATTTAAATATTTTAGAAAAAAGCGAGATTTTAACTTGCTGCATACATTTTACTCTCTTTGATAGTGTTCACAATGTTGTTAAAAAGTTTAATACTTACTATATTCTTTTTTTATTGTGACATTTTCCTTAATCAAACATATTGGCATTAAAATCAGATTAATTTTAGAAGACAATATTCATTATTAAAAAAATAGGCTCAGCTAACAAGAACACTCAGACATGGGTTTGGATGTCCAAATACAAGCTTGTAAAAGTGCAGGCTTGAAATTATTCACACCGCCTTAGATTGGTGACACACTGAATAAACATAATCTGCAGTGTGACAACAATGTTTGCCAACTCTTTCCAAGTGTCAAGACCCTCAGTAGCCGGTGCCTTATCTCCAGTGTCTCAATTATTGGGTGTCAGTAGTGATGTATGGACCAGATTCCCATTATTTAGACATGGGCCGGCTAGCAGTTGTAGAGGTCACTGGCCAGGCCCTCTGGACAGAGGACCAGTGACCCCCTTCATGCTGACCCACTATAAACTACTGCAGTGGCCTGTAAACATCTCTATCCAGAGCCCAGGCTGCAAGTACAAGACACTTTTCACAAGTACTTAAGCAAATATACAGAGGGTTAGACATGAAGCGAACGCTTATATCCTTCTTTTATATTTACTGATATATATATTTGTTTTATTATTATTTCATTTATATATACACATATACACAGACCCTCTTATGCTCACCAAGGATGGATTTATTTGATCAAAAATACATTAAAAAATTGAATTTTCAGAAACATTACTCATTCAGTGGCACATGATCCTTCAGAAATCATTCTAATATGCTGATTTGGTGCTCAGGAAACATTTCTTATTATCCAATGCAAAAAACATTTGTGCTGTTTAATATTTTTGTGGAAACAGTGATACATATTTAGGATTCTTTGATGAATAGAAAGTTCAAAAGAACTGCATGCTTTTGAAATAAAAGTCTATATTATGAATGTCTTTACAGTCTCTTTTTATTTGTTTAATGCAACCTTGCTAAATAAAAGTATTAAAGGGGTCATATAATGGTACATGCACTTTTACAAGTTGATTGTACTGAAATGTGTGTTGGCAGTGCCTGTACACAAACATCATAAAATGATACAAATCCATCCAGTGTTTTTGTTTTAATCTCCTTATATGTTTTCCCCTGCCTCAAATCGAGCCGTTCGACCGTGTGACGTCACATGGTCGGACGCCCCTCCCGCGATTGTTGATTGACAGCCGAGTTTCAACACAGACCCGCCCTCGCTCGTGAGCAAGCTGTCAATCATAGTCCGCGCGGACCGGCGCGGTCATTGTTGATATGCTGGAGCACTGTCTATGAGCACAATGGCGTCTAAGCGATTGTGGTGTTCTGTTCTTGGGTGTAATAACGAACACAGCAGTCATTTTAATGTTCCTAAATCCGAACCGCTGAAGACGCAGTGGCTGAGTTTGTTTTCGAAGGGAATATTCCCCACGAGCAACGTCAATGCTTTCATATTTGCGCGAATCATTTCACACACCAGACTGCTTATAAACGAGGAGGGTCAGTATAAAGCTGGTTTTGCTAAGAAGCTGCTTCTGGACCGGTACCAACTATTCGTGTTCCTGCTGAACCTCCAAAATAACTGAAGTGAGTGTAACGTTTTATTAATCTTTAATATTTATATTAATCTTTGCAAATCGCTAGCTGCACGCTTCACAATGAATGCGTCTAAGGTTTACACTCAGGGTACATTACGGCATGTTTTCTATGTACGACGTTCTCAATATAATTCATAATCCCACGTTTATACTGAACAACGCGTTATGGTTATTGTGTTACAAACGGTGTATGCACAGAACAGAGAGGCGGGGTGAGCAAAGCTCATTATCATTTAAAGTCATATGCACTGAAACAGCGTGCTGAAAACAGAGCTGTTTTTGACCAGGTAAAATAAGTGTTTTCTTACAATACTAATGAGAATTTTTAATTAAAGTATATTACAAAGTTTTAATTTAGACTCTAAAGAATCATATTAGCTTGTACAAAAATGGCATTATATGACCCCTTTAATTACTTCCAAAAAAATCGTACCTGCCCTAAACCTTTGACTGGTAGTACATGTAATTGAAATAACTATATATATATATATCCATTAAATCAACAAACATTTGCAATGAAAAGAAGAACCAATGCAGAACCAATGGCACATTTATTATCTATGGTTACTGGCCTGTTGAAATCCACCGAAAGCACAGCGCTGTATTTTGGCCAGATTGATTAGTTAGCTTCTGTGCATCAGATATTTGTGTAGAGCTTCCATATTGACAGAAGGAATTAAGTCTTTTAGGTTATCTAGCCAAGTCATGCCTGCTAAGCTCATTAACCTAGATCCCAATCATCAGAAAGTCAATAATAGGCAAGAGAGAGATTAAAAAGTAGCTGAGGCAAGACAACTCTCTCCATCATTTCTCATTCCTTTTCCTCATGTGTCAGTGCTAATATGATAATAGTGCACAAGGCAGCTTTTTTAAGTGATGTGACATATTTGGTCAAATCAATATCTTTGAACAATGTATAAACACCTATTTTGATGTGGTCAGTTTGAGGACAGGTGTTAATGCTATACGACAACTGTAATCAAGTTAAATTAGATCTTGTAGTTACTTGTCTGTGTTGTTATCCCTTTCAGGTTGACATGCACTAACCTAATCCAGGGAGAGCATCTGCACCTCTTTCACTCCGTGGACTGATGTCCACGACCCTGTCCCCTTTCTGCTGGCCTCCAGCATCTATACGTGGCTTAGAGCAGCAGAGGGACGTTTAAGCTACAAAGTCCATCACAACAAAACCATAACAGTTTCAGTTGGAAGGTTCCTTACCAAAGGAGCCACTTTGCTGTTTAGGTACAACCTTTTAACAGTATCCTCTGCTGGACTCTTCTGCTGTGGTGAGCAAGGAGCATCCATCTACAAGAAAAAAAGACATTTGAAATATCTCACATTTTCTCATACATATGTTGGTTTCACTTTATTAATGCGGACATCTCATAGATGCAGTTGTTTTTATACAGGGGTCATGATATTTGCTAAAAATTAAAACATTTCAACCTTTCAAGTAATGAAAACGTCATGAAAGCCTTTCAAGCAATGAGGACCATTTCTCATAAGTCAGTCTTCAACATATTACCCATATTACTAGATAAAGATTTGATCTTCACAAGTATAACTCAACCTGTACACAAACACACACAATTACTCTAAATGCGGAAATATGTAGAACTACGTTGTTTTAATGCAGTTAATCATAAATACTACAGAAAATTTAACAGAAATTCACATCCTTACAGAAAACATTTTTACAATTAAAAAAAAAAATATATATATTTACTTTATTTATATTATTAATTTATGTCCCTGGATAGAGGATTTGTCAGATTTAGCTCACTTCTGGGGACAAATTTTAAGTAGTAAAACACACGTGTAAACTTTTGATCCCAAGTTTAGGGTCAGTATTAAAACTATTAATCGTGATTAATCGCACATTTAATCTTGAAATTAAGCATATACCATTTATGTTGAACACATTCATTTCGTCATCATTTGATATAACCAGCAAAGAAATAATATAAGGAGTCCATATAATTCAATACGTGAGTCTCTATTCTCTCTGCCATCTCTGATGGAAGGGCTCTTTAAATGATACTGTTTTCAACTAAAAACAGAAAACTTTTAATGCGTTTTTTTTTTTTTTTTTACCGTTTTTAGTTCATTGTTGTTGTGTAAATATACCCTCAAATTTATCTGATCACAAACAGAGAAGCAAAATCGGCTTAAAGGGTTAGAAAAGAGATTTGCACCTAACATTGTAGATGCTCAGTGTGATAAACTCCTGAATTTTAAGGGTAGGCTACGTTTACACGGTAACGATGTACTAAAAAGGAAAAAGTTTTTCCTTTGCGTTTTTCACAAACACCTTTGTCAAAACAATCCCCGTTTACATGGATCCGCAAAAACGATTAAAAATGCTGTATTATGCATGCCAGGTCAATAGTTGGCAATGTCACTTTGTAAAGAAAAAATATGCGTCTATGGACTGAACACGTAATACGCGCATGACGTCACCGTTTTCACAAATTCGCGTTTTTGTAGTTTACATGGAGACAAAGATATCATTTTCAAAAACTTTGAAACCAGTTTTCAAAGGTTTGCATTTTCAGGCCCCCAAAATGCTGTTGTAGTCTAAATGAACGGTCAAAACGCATACAATTTTTCTCGTTTTTAGTTGAAAACTGTGTCTCATAAACTGCCCCGAATGACGTGTTAACATTGACAGCCCTATATACAGTATATATATATATATATTCTGCAGGGATGCATTCAATTGGTCAAAAGTGACAGTAAATACATTTATAATGTTACAAAATGTTTACGTATTTTAGAAAAGTTCTTTTGAACTTTTTACTGATCAAAGAATCCTGAAAAAAAAGGTATCACCGTTTTCACCAAAAAGCAGCACAACAAGGATAATGAAATGTTACTTGAGCACTGAATCAGGATGATGTGACATTAAAGACGAGTACTGGCTGCTGAAAATACAGTTTTACCATCACAAGACTAAATTACATTTTAAAACAAATTATTCAATTGTAATAAAATTTCACAATATTACTGTTTTTACTGTAATTTTGATTAAATAAATGGAGCCTTTGAGAGCATAAGAGACTTCTTTCAAAACATTCAAATGTCTTACTAATCCTAAACTTGTGAACGGTATTGTACAGTATATACAACAAAAATAACATATATAATGGCAAACATTAAGTCTCCATTAAGGGATTATCGGCTGTTTTCATGAGCATTTTTTTTGTTTAATAAATGGCATCTGACACAGGCAGGCCACAACGAGGTGAGCCGAGTTACATTTGTTCGCCTGCTAAAGGGGGTGTGGGGTGCAGAGCAAAACAAAAACAAAACTTATGCATATTCATCAGCCTTCACCAATTGAGGCCAGAGATGAGGGGCTTAATGGGCATGCACCTGTTAAAGTCTGTTCTGGGTTAACCTCTACTGTATGTGTGTGCTTGTGTGTGTGTGTGTGTGTGTGTGTGTGTGTGTGTGTGTGTGTGTGTGTGTGTGTGTGTGCAGGACAGGCCACAGGTGCAGATTTCATTAAGTGTTACATGATTAAAGCTCCTTCCCTCTTTCAGAGTGGTAACATCCGCTTTGATGAAGCAAAAGACGTGTTGGTGTAAATATCATGGGAGAGCATATTGATTCAAAGTGGACAAAACTGTATCGCTCTCAGAGAAGCTACTGACCGCAAAACTGACTGAGGCGTTGTGCAGAATGGCCTCCTGCCGCTGCAAAGTCTGCCGTAAAAACATCTCATCCTTGATGGCATGGAAACTTAAGAGAGAAATAATCAATGTAACAGAGCTCATGGAGCCTAATGAAACAAAAACTGGAGTTACAAAACTTTAGGGTGTACCTCTGTCTTAAAATCTCAAACTTCTTTTCCCACACCTGATTGGACATGCACAACTGCTTATTGAGCCTGATAACATTTCAAAACATTAAGAACAACAGAGGGCAGTGGAAAGAACAAGTACTTGATCTCTTTCAAAGTGTTATTATACCTTTCAATCTCCTTTTTCAGCACTGCTTCAGTCTTTCTATGTTCTTTAATTTTTTGAACCAGCTCTATATCCCCAAGAAGCTGAAAGAAAAACAATGCTCAGATTCAGAGAAGTTTATGGATGCATGTATGCTACTTCAACAAAGAGAACGGTACCTCCATGGTTGTAAGTTCTGCTGCCTTACGCTTCTCAATTTCAGTGGCAGCTTTCTGAAAACGGGAGAATCACAAACATATACTAAAATTACAATGATGCATTTCTGTATAGTAATAAAGTCAATAAAGGAGTACAAATAAAATGTTACTTTTGTGTCTTTGCATTACATCTTAAAGGGATTGTTCACCAAAAAAGGACAATTCTGTCATAATTTACTCACCCTTACAGTATGTCATTCCAAACCTGTATTCAATTCAATTCAGTTCATTTGTTTAGCACTTTTTACAATACATATTGTTTCACAGCTTCACAAAAATGCATGTTCCAATATTCTGTTCTTTACTTTCTTTCTTCTATGATTTTGAGAAATGTCTCCGCGTGTTTTGCAATGAAAGTCAGTGGGGTCCAATGTTGTTTTGACTCCAACGTTCTTAAAACATCTCCTTTTGTGTTTGTCACGAGAAATAAAGTTTATAGCAGGCTTAGACCAACATAATGGTGAGTGAATGATGATAGAATTTTACATTTTGGGTGAACTGTCCACTGAATCTAGCAACATGTTTCATGTGCCCGTCCACCTCAGCTCAGAAGAAAGGACATGGCTTTGAAGTTGTATCTGTTTTCTGATAGAGATTTAAATGGAGGGCCATATTCGGTGTGTCATTATATCAGTCCATCGCTCACAAAGGGTCATTTTAACACCAAATGTCCACTTTGTGTGGCATGTCCAATCAAGGCTTGACACAGCTTTGTGGAATGTCATGTTGGCTGATTGAGTGCATACGTTCAGAGCAGTGTGAAGGTCAGGTCACCTGAGGTCAGCTCGGACATCCACTTTTCCACCCGTGTTCCCCCAAAAAGGCCTAACAGAACGTGGGAGTCCCTTTTTAAGTTTCTCTTAGTAAGAGTGGGTGCAGAGTGTGTTGTTAGTCTAACCCAACACAGAAAGGATGTCAGTCCACCCTTTTTCTTTCATCCTAACCAAAGAAATAAAGAGAATGGGAAAAAGAAAGTTTCCTTGCCAGATTGTTCAAAGACCCATTGTGTGCAAAAAGGAGTAGGTGTTGATTTGTGACAATACAACAGAGAGTTGTGTAAGGCCTCATGAAGTTCTCTATATTGAGAATGAACACTAATGAAGGCCTGTTACACTTCAGTCTGTTTCCTTACTAGTTTGATGAATGCAGCTGCACATATATAGTTTAGACATAAAATAATAAATATTAATTGACCATTCAACCGAAGAATAACCTTCTGAACATTTCCAAAACATTCCATGTACACTACCATTCAAAAGTTTGGGGTCAGTAAGATTTTTTAAAAGTTTTTTTTATGCTCACCATTTATTTGAACTAAAACACAGTTAAAACAGTTATAATGAGAAATATGATATATATATATAATTAAATGTTATTATATATATATATATATATATATATATATATATATATATATATATGTATACTGTATACTGTATATAATTAAATATTTAAGTGTCACCGGCCCTTACATATTTAAAACAGTAATATCCTATACTAAACCTAAACTAATATTGACAAAATATATATCATTTGAAAGCTTACAATCTGTAGTTTTCATATTGGTGATTGATACAAAATAAATTACAGAAGAGCCGTAATCTATCAAATTGCAACAAGAATATTTTCATACTCCTAAGGCGTGTTAAGACCTTTATTTTGAAATAGTGATGAACATGAAAATCATGAAAGAATGGTAGAAACCTCAGTTTGTTTTCATGCCAATAGTTTAAAAGATAGCATCCATTACATTTTTTTTTAGAAAAAAAGGTCTGAAAATGTTTTAAATATAAAGAAAAAAATTATAGATTCACCATTTGTGATGTGGCAGCGAGCTATAACGCACATGCGTGTTCTTTTTATGTGATTATTAGAGGTTGAATTCATATCAAAATATGCCAAACTTCCCTTACTACTTCTGAATAGGATGCCTACTTCATAAATTGTATGAAAATTGTGGAAATAATGGTTCAGATCACTCAAAACACATATGGAAATGGAGGCGCCCTTATATGGGCAGTAATGGAGTCTGGTTGTGACCTAGTGAAAAAGTTTGGTACTGCACCCAAACAAAATCTCACTGAAAGCTCATTTTTGAGATATCAACCTAAAATTTGAACTTGTTCAGAGTTGTGGCTTTGATTTTCTTGCAGTTTTAGAGTCCACCAGGTTTTGAAAATATATATTTTATATAAAATATGAATAATTAAATTTCACTTTCTTAATTTATTTAACTTCTACAAAAATCTGCCAAACGTCTTTAAAACAAGACCAATCTTAAATCTATATTCCAAAGCATTCTTGAATTACAACCATTTAAGTTCGGATTGTGCATTTTCATGTTTATTCAAAAAAGGGGGCGTGACACTTAAGAGGTTAAGATGTAATGTATTCCTGTGAAGGCAAAGCTGAATTTTCAGCATGATTACTTTTCAGTGTCACACGATCCTTCAAAAATCATTCCAATACGCTGATTTGGTGCTCAATAAACATTTCTTATAATTATCAAGACTGAAAACAGTTGTGTTGCTTAAATTTTTGAGAAAAACAGTGACACATTTTTTTCAGTATTCTGATGAATAGAAAGTTCAAAAGAACAGCATTTATTTTAAACAGAAATCTTTGGTGACATTATAAATATCTTTAATACAATAGAATGCATCATTATTAGTAAAAAAATAAATTAAAAAAAGTATTATGAAAGTACCGTATTCATTAATTTGGTGAGGGAAAAAACCCATTATCAATTAAAATGACATGATTTTGAAAAATAGTGCTTCTAATCATTCAAGGACAGATCACATGTTTATAGAACTATTGTTTTCCAAGGTAAATAAATCAAACTGTTTCAGCATTGTATCTAAGTTTGAGTCACTGTCTATACAGGGCCAGGCACGTGCCAGTTAAAATTGAAGCTTGGGCATTATAAAAAAAGATGAATTCCACACATTTCCATAATAACTAGCCACAGTGGCAAAGCTCATTGTAAAGGTGCCCTTTATGAAGTGGACTTAAAAACCGGGCTTATTGTCCACTTTGATTCAGCTGTACCCCATCACCCACTCCAGCCTGTCACCATGTTGTGTCAGCTGCATGCCACATTCCACCCTCTCCTAGGCACCGAGGCCAGGGATTCACACTGGCCTGCTCCTCGGCCGCCTCTATACGGTCAGCATGTTGACAGAGTCATCGTCCTGATTCCCCCCTCCCCCCTTAACAAGCCATGAACAAGCAAATAAATAAAAAAACAGAAGGATGTGCAAGAAGCCATGATGCTATGGCCATTTTTATAAAGGATCAGCTACAATAATAGTTTATAGAGTGTTTAGTTAAAGGTAAGTATGATAAGCACTGGAAATAGCATTATATAAAAATAATAAATATCAATAAAAACATTTAAACAAATATAATAATTATTATATTATATTATAATAATAATTAATTCATATACATAAAGTATCACATATGTTTAATGTATAATATAACATAATATATAATATAATATAATATTAAATAATATTAAATAATATATTATATTATTTAATATTCAGCAATGACTAAGTGTCTATGACAATTTATACACTATCTTTGGGGTCGGTAAGACGTTTTAATACTTTTGAAAGAAGGTGCTTATGCTCTTAAAGGGATAGTTCCCCCAAAAATTAAAATTCTGTCAGTAATTACTCACCCTCATGTTGTTCCAACCTCGTAAGACTTTCCTTCATCTTCCGAACACAAATTAAGACATTTTTTATTAAATCTGAGAGCTGGATCACTCCTCCATATAGGCTTCTAACGGATTGAAACTTGCCGGCCCAGAAAAGTTATTAAAGACATTGTTAGTGTAACAGCGCAGCGCTTCTGTGTTGTACATCATTTTTTTTTAACTAGAACTGTTTTCTATTTAAATATATTTTAAAAAGTTATTTATTCTTGTGATGGCAGAGCTGAACTTTCAGCATCTTTACTCCAGTTTTCAGTGTCACATGACCCTTCAGAAATCATTCTAATACACTGATTTGGTGCTCAAGAAACATTTCTTATTATCAGCATTGACAGTTGTACTGCTAAACATTTTCGTGTTTCTTGTTTTTTTCAGGATTCTTTGATGAATAGAAAGTTCAAAAGAACAGCATTTATTTGAAATAAAAATCTTTTGTAACATTATAAATGTCTTTACTGTCACTTTTGATTGATTGAATGTGTCCTTTCTGAATTAAAGTATTAAAAGAAATGTAAAAATCTTAATGACCTCAAACTTTTGAACGATAGTGTAGGTAAGCATTAATAGCTTGAATTAAAAATTGACTTAACTTAGCAAGGTTGTAATTCACACCTGTGATAGAAAAGGCATTTTAGATGTGTATTTCGATGAAAAAAAGACAAAGATCTGCACTTGACAGAGGGAGAGAGAGCTGTCATCATCACTCAGGGCTGTTAATGAATGCGTTTCACTGTTGGTACGGGTTGAATTTTAACCATAGAATCATGGCTAAAATCGATATTACTTAGACACTGCGTGTGCACCTTATCCTCCGTCTTTACTTTAGGACACTGATGTCTGGGGTAATGGAGGGACCGTCCTTTGGTCAAGAGTTCAAGACCTCCAAACATCCTGAGACTGATAGGACTTGAGTCAAGTCCGTGCCGTACCTGAGCATGTGTTCAGCTGCATCTCATACTCACCTCCTTCAAGCGTGAGGCTTCAATGCATGCAATTTCTTTCTTCATCTCCTCTTTTAACTGTTTTATCTGCAAAAGAAAATTTATAATGTTATCTCACAAACAAGAGCAGACAGTGAGAGACTTCATGTTGCTTGCTTACTCGCAACCATCCCAAAGGTTCTGGGATTTTAGGAGTATTTACACCCAGGTTAAAACTTCAGAAGTGGTCAGCCAATGGTACAGATGACAAGGGCAGTTGTGTGGTTGATGGGCCATTCATTTTTTCAAAGAGCCGAAGCTTACACCCAGCTGAGCTTCACACTCCACTCTGGCCTGGGCTTCAACCTCTCATTATAGGTCTTTTCTGCAACCCTTTGGCTATGGAAACAAATTTTCTGCTTCATTGATCAAAGTCACCACAATAAAATAGGGCTGGGCAAAAAAATAGATTTTTAGATTTATCGTTTTTAAAATGTGGTCGATTCAAAATCGATTCTCAAAGGCCACGAATTGATTTTTTTTCCATATTTATTTCAAAAGCCAGTATTATTTTCCTACACTGTTCATAGGCTTGCAGCCTCCATGTTACAGCCAATGCTGTGAGATTTTATGTTAGTTTTATCTTAAACATAAAATAACCTAATCCTGTTTGATCAAGGCATGCGACTGTTCTGACTTGTCCAATTTTCAGCATCAATTTTTCATCTTGCATCAAAATCCTGTCTATTCATTGTATGCATTTGAAATGTAGAGTTTGGGTTCTGTTTTAATGTAGGCTACCCAAGTTAAAAAGAGTTTAATATACAGGTTTGTGGCTTATAATTTCTTTTTATTAATTAATCACTTGTAAATTTATAGTTCACTGTTCTTTTTTTATAAATATAGGATTTGTATTAAATCTATATTCATTGAGTCGAATCGAGAATCGAATTGGGAATCGAAATCGAATTTAGAATCGCAATCGAGAATCGAATCAAGATCGAATCAAATTGAGAGCTTGCGAATCGAAATCGAATCGGAACATCTGAATCAATACCCAGCCCTACAATAAAATGGTGAAAAAAACTTTGTTTTTTTTCATTTTTTTTACTTTACATTTTTATGCATAGCCACCACGCTAGACATTGAGTTTGTCAGTCAAAGCACAAAGGGGCGGCTCAACAAAGGATGCAAGACTGAAAAGAGGCCAATCTGAATAGCTAAATATGGATAATCATTTTCTCCTGGTGGCTCAAACAACATTAAGGAGGTCTTCATTAGTGGTTTTAACCATGGTTTCTACATAGAGTGTGTTTGGCCACCACCTGCTCCATTAGCCTCTTTCCTGGTCCTACCAGGTTTTGTGTCCACTCACTATTATTATGTGAATAGCCGGAAGAACATTATTGATCTGAAACTAATATGCCTCTCTATTATAAAGCACTTTAAAACAGAAAAAAAAGGATAGAAATTAAATGAAATTGTTTAAATGAACGCAACATAAATAAATAATTAAAAACTGTATCATGAAGTATCTGTATATTAAATTATACAAATGTGCATAATATATTCGATACAAATTAAAAAATATGAATGTCCTTTTATGAAGACTAGATTTTGTTTTTGGGGTGTACTTTAATATGTTTTCATGCTCGATTGTTCAAAAAACACATTATTTTTCACACATTTTACATTATTACAGCTCCCATTACCCCAGTCTGTCTGGAACGGTCTGGAGAACGCGTCGTTTTCGATGAAGCCCCTCCTTCCATCTGTGCTGTGATTGGTTAGCTGGCCCAGTGTGTTGTGATTGGCACCGCTTTAGCACGTGTTCGGGAAATGTCCCGCCCCTTTATAACCGCGAGCTCTGCCAAAGCCAGTCTGCTCAGATGTAAACATTAAAAATAGCGTCAATTTCGAACCTGATTCAGAATCAATTTTAACGAAAAAGAGGATCGTGCAGAACGGATTTCATGTACGGACTTTGCAAGCACGGATTTCAAAGGACGTTTCAGAGTGGTATTAGCCTGGTTAAAACCAGACCATTCTCAGTTGTACTGAGATATGATCTGGCAATGCGTCATAGACAAATCATTTCCAGAGGGGCGTCACCAACGGACGTCGCGGATAGACCTAATCCCAATCAGAGCGATGAAGGAGATGACGTATGCAGAGCGGCGGAAAAAACATCTCCGAGTGTTGTTCTTTGCTCGGTTTTTAACTAAAAGGAAACGTTCAAATCGCTTAAAAAAGACGCGATAGCTGATTCGAACGAGTGATGTTCGACGGCAGCATTCAACTTTGTAATGTAGGCTACAAAATCTGCTTAAAAATCCCAGCGCTGTCGTCATCGTGTAAAGCCCGCCCCAACGTTTCTGATTGGTGCCGCGATTTCGGCGGATTGGAAATGAGCTTGAATGGGCTCTTTGCCAGACTAACTTTCAGAGCAAATCTAAATTTGCCGGAAGTTGTCTGGGTTTTCCCAGGCTAGAGTGGTATGTTTTTGTTTGTTTGTTTCTGATAGATTATAGATACGTTGTCCACCATTTAATCATATGTTGTCGGAAGACTAACGTTATACAAACAGTTATCATCACAAGATCATGGCTAATTTTCCTAAGGGGTGGCGGGTGAACAGTCTTACAAAATCAAGAGCTTACAAAAGCTGCAGTAAACAAACACTATCAATACTCTAATGTTAGTTATTGTATTGTACCTGCATTGTAACATACTCTGTATGTCTGCTGTTCTCCGTAAAATGTGCAGCGTAAAGAAAGTTGAGGTTACAATGTTCAGGAACAGTGGTTAAAATTTATTTTAACCTCACTAAGTTTGTCAGACTTTTCTGGGCAACAACTCTTCATCTTCTCTAAAGCAGCCCAACATGGCCTCACCCCCTTTGTTGCATGTTCCCAGGACAGGATTTATGTAAAGTTTAGGGTTTGTGATGTCACCAACCCGGGAAGAAGCTCGTTGTAGTACAAGCAATAAAAAAAGAGCCAATAAACAAACAGCCATTTGTTGTAGTCCTTAAAAAGCTATTTCTGTAAAAGGAAATATCTCCCATTGCATTGAACTTTGAGCGTATAACATTGCAGATGCTGTTTATGCTCAAACAGCAACATACACAAACTAAAGTTAAAAAAGTGAAATCATAATTAAGGACCCCTTTAAAATAAAAAATGTCTTCCTTATTTTAAAAATTCATTGCAGAATTTTAGTTTGTTTATTTATTTATGTATTTCAACAATTTCATTTTCAGTGGTGAGATATTTAAGTACGGAGCCCCTAAAGGGACATGGTGCTGGAAAAAAATATGAAATGGGAGGAAAAATAGTCAAAGCTTTTGCGTTCTCTTGCAAATGTTTTGCTTTCCGAGAAATTTTGCGTTCGCTCGCAAAATCTTTTGAGCTCGGTTTCTTGGCGGAACGCAAACGTTTTTTGTGAGGGAACGCAAAACATTAGCGAGAAAACGCAAAAGCATTGACAAATATTTGTTCCTCCATCTCATATTTTTTTCTCTTCACATGTCCCTTTGGGGTTCCGTAATGTACTGTATGTAATATACTGTATGTAATAATAAAAAATGTATTTAATTTAAATAAACTAAAAAGTGACAAACATCTGTATGCATACTGCATGCACACTCTTCTTCACTCTGCTGAAGAGCTGTGCTAATATGAGCGTTTGATTGCAGGGTAAATTATGCCAGCTTTGACAGGACCCTTGCTGCTTGTCTCCCAGCAACCCTGCAAGGCCAGAGGGAGACTTTTAACCTCCTTGATTCTTGTGTGGCCGGATTCAATGACTGAGTACCATAGAGTCTTTCACACTCTTTTTACGTTGTCCTCTGTGTTCATATTTTAATTCCAGCCATTGTGTGGCAAACGTGGTGCATATTGTTCCTCGCAATCAACTGAAAAATCAAATGCTGTGTAAAATGATACTTGCCAACCACATTTTTTCTGTAAAACTGTCTGTATTTTAAGTATGTAAATGAACAATTTAACATTCTGAAATAATTTTAAATGAATTAATATTGTATTTAAAGGTTTTGGTGGTAAAATAAAGCAATAGGCTGGCATTTCAGCTAAGGACTTATGAATACAAGGCAGCAGTCCAACTTAGAGCGTATTCAAAATGCACAACAAAGCACTCGGACCACATGGTTTCTTACTGTAGTGCAATAATATAAACTCTGGCATGGCCCCAATCTTAACACCACGCAGTGCTACTTCACACACACTTCATCTTTACTGCACAAAAGATAAAACACTAAATAAACAATACTATATCAATACAGGTCAAAAACGCTGCCCCACGTCCATTCGCCAAATGTTTTACCAATATCAACATGCTACATTGTCAGCTTGATGCTGGATATCCTCAGCTGTGCTTGATCATATATCATAAAATAATTTAGTTCTCCCTCATGCACCAGTTGCTGCATAGTATTTAATTCATGGTAATTTGCTCCGCTGGCATGCTTCTCTCTGCTGATAGAGCTAATACACAAGTAAAACATGCAAAATTATGAGGAACAACATTGTCTGGGCTGCAAACCTGACATATGCTGCCCTATTTATCTTAGATGTCACACAGTAACCATTTCTGGTAAGGAGAATTATTTCCTGGGAGGAACAGGAAAAACAATATGTATGTAATGGAAGTGAAAGGGGTCAATTATTTTAAGATTTAAAAGCAAAATGTGAAGCTTACAATTTATAAAGCACTTACTTCCATTGTATTATTATTTGAGTGTAGTGTCTCACTATAACATAACATATGCCACAAGCTTTAACTATTGAATCCAGAATTTTCCTTCAACAAATGAAAAATAAAAAAACTCACCTTTTCTCTGCCACTTTCTCTCTCAAAGTTTAACTGCATTTTCAGTTGTCCATGTTCACCTGTCAACTGAAATAAATGTAAAATCAAAGTGTTATAAATAAAACAAATGCAATAAATGTATTTTACACTTAAAAGTGTGTTTTTAACTTCTTTGTGTACTATATAATACCATTTGAAGGGCCTTTTTGCTGTCGTCTGCCTCTGATTTCAACTGTGCTAAATTCAGAGCTATGGACAGAAGAGAAAACATTTGTTTTTTAAAAAGGACAATATCTAGAGGAGAAACAAAGGCTGATGTCAGGAGCACAACGACAGGACATCCACTTGTCTTTGTTCATCTATTGCGTCTTGGGTCAGTGGACTGAAGCCCAGTCCTGGCATGCATGACCTGTTCTGGCTCAGGGTCCTGACAAGCTTCTGACCTGGTGCAATGCTGTTGACACGTCCACTCACATGCACTGACCAAACACAAACCACTAAGTTCAAGGGCCAAGTGTGTGTTAATGCCAAAGTGCTTTTATTTCCTTAGAGACTTAAGACCTGGACAGCTCTTACCTTTAGTCACAGCCAATGCAAAACATTTTAGCAGATGGTTCTTCACATTCTGAATGGAGAAGGAGTTTATGTTCCAAAAAAAATGGATATGGTTTTTTTTAGCATTTCAAAAATAGGTGTTCATGCGTAATCAGAAAAAAACAGTGGCATAAAATATTCAGACGGTTACCAAAGTTACATAAGCAATGAATGAATATCAAACACTATGAGAGATAAAGACCTGACCCTTGAGAATACACCTGTCTTGTGTTTGCTTTCTCCTCACAGACTCCCACAGAGTGTGAGGTGATAGCTATGGTCTGACAAGTGTCCTCAAACATTGCGTTTTGAATGCAAACTACATCACACACCAGGACAGATAAGGGAAAGAGTCTATATTTCCCAAACAAGCATTTGTGACAAATGATTGTTTTTGTCACAAAACCCACTGGGAAAAAAAAAGAAACATACTTTTTTTTGTGTGTGTGTGGTTCAGCAAGAACTGAGCTAAAACATGACATTACCCAGACTCTGCTCTTTGGATTCCAGGACTCTGTGAATTTCTTCCAGCTCGACGTGCAACAAGTCAATGTTATCTTTTAGCTTTTCATTCTCTGACTTCAGTCTGCTTTTTTCTAGGTCCTCCGTGCCGATCTGAAAAATGACACAAGTCCTTTTTAACTTTCCCTTTACAGCGGCAAACAAAAGCCACGCCGCTCAAGCTGCGTGGCAAATATGAGTGCCATTCAGTCACAAAGCAATCGTACAACTTTCTGCCTCCTACCATTTCCCCCTGAATAATAAAAAGCGAGAAACAAAAAAGCAAACACACTTAGAAGAGGGCAATCTCTTTTTTTTCTCCTTTTCTCTCTTTCTGCCTTTTCTTCTTGCCCAGAAGAAAGACGGCAGTACATTACATACAAAGCCCATAATTCATGGGGACATTTTTATTGACAGGAATAATACATATCATACTGTTTGTGTGCCCCTGTCATTCAGGTCAATTTATTCTGGAAGTCAAGGAAGGCAGCTGGGGCCTATCCACCCACAGTCTAGGCTCTGCTTTCTAACAAGCTCGGCAGAGCCAGGGTTTGAGGGGGGCGATTGGAGGATGGCTGAGCAGCCCCAGGGGGTTCGCAGAGAGCACAGTTTCCCGGGGGGGGCTTGTTGCCTTTGTGCTGTCCCTCAGTAGCAGCGCTGCCTGTGTCACCAGGATCACATCACATGTCAGCGCTCTGAAGTTTGCAGACTGGGAGCCGCATGGAACCCATCAGGTTCCTGTGATATCCACGCAGTTGGCCCTCTACTTTGTACCACAGCAACCATTCATGCCCCGAACATTAACAGGGCTTTTGCATGCCTGTCACACTTAAGATTGTGCAGGCGTTCAAAGGCTTTCAAAGGATTTTCTTCTTTCACTTTCTTCAATCTGTCTCTCTCACTCTCATTCATAAGGAATTGCGATCATAAAGAGTTTTTGATCCCAATAAGTTTATTTTTACGTTTGATGATTTTCCTTTTTTGTCACGTTTGGGATCATCTCAACATGCAAGTCATGGTGCCATGTTAGTCACACAGAATTAACGAAATGTTCCGATTTATGAAATCTTGCATATTTGCATATATAAATCTTTAAACAGATTTAATCCCAGAATAAAGAGCCATGTGTGACGGTCAGATGATGATGATGATGTACATGTCATGGACCAGAGGATTACTCTATCACTAATAGGAATGGACATTGATGCATCCAGCATGACAGAAATATTACTCCATGCAGGGTGGTCACTTCATCTTTCCCTCCGTGTTTCATTGTCATCATCTACTGTTGACTGTGAGGAAGGGGCGGAGATAGTAAACTTATGGATTCATTCATACTTACTGAACTTAATTTTTCATCATCAAAGAGGAAAAAAAAATTTACTCCAAGGAACATCTTTCTGCCCTGTCTGAACAGCCCAACCTTTAACTCTGGCTCCACCATCTGCTGCAATAACAGAACTACAGGTGATTAGCCATGCGTCTCTCCTGTGGGCGTGAGAGTTCTCATTAGCACAATGAACAAAGCTCAACTCCGCCGGGCTGCACTCATTTGTTACACTTTGAGTGGCAGGTTTTGTATGGCCGTTCTTCCAGCCATCTGCCAACACAAGCAGCCGTTTTGGTTGGACAGAACTCAAACACTAAGGGTGAGAGATAACTCTCTCAGGCGGAGTGAGAGGGGCATCCTATTAAAAAGGCTAATAATAGACACCTCACTTATTGGCACCTGATAGCTCATTCATGTTGCATGTAAACCCCTTTTGCAAGGGCATAAAGGTAAGTAATTGATTTCACTTTGTGGAACGCAAGAACCTGCTTATTAGTGTATGGCCATGGGGCCAGGCCACTCCCAAGTACACTTCAGGCCATAATAGAGCAGGCCACTAAACAATAATTACCGTCCTGCTGGTCAATATCAACACACGCTGGATGACATTTAAGCAATCAAGAATCATATTGACATCATTAATGATAAATGCACTACTGGCCAAGTAATGCTTCAGTGCAAAAGCTACCCTCAGGAAAAAAAAAATATATATATATATATATATAGGCCTAGAATTAGAATATCTTATTATTTCAACATGGACAATAATAAGAAATGTTCCTCGAGTGCCAAATCAGCATATTATAATGATTTCTGAAAGATCACGTGACCCTGAAAAATGGAGTATTGGCTGCTTAAAATTCAGCTTTGCCATCACATGAACGAATTATATTTTCAAATGTATTCAAATAGAAAACAGCTATTTTTGATGGCAAATTGGCAATCATATTTCACAATATTAGTGTTTTTGCTGCATTTCAGCCTTTGTCAGCATTAGAAACTTATTTAAAAAACTATTATTTTATTATTATTTTTTTTTAAATCTTACCTTACCTGATCTTACCTGATCTTTTAAATCTGACCCCAACCTTTTGAACATTAGTGTATGCATTACATACATTCTGATCGTATCCATTCTAGTCCTTGTCCATTACTTCTTCATATTGGTACAGGCCTATAGTTCAACAATTGAAACACTATTGTGTTTTTGTGATGAATGGCAGTGTCTGTACCTCATATTTCTTCAGCTGTTCACTTATACACTCAATCTTCAGGTTCTTCTCCTGAAGCTCATTCAGAAGGTCCTTTACTCTTCCATCAGTAACATCACAAACCAGATCCGTGTCTTCCTTATTCTTTAAGAAATGCGACTGTGAGATTGTGAATTTTGTAACAATAAATACTATCAATTAAAAACAAAATCTTTGTTGATGTTCCAAACTCCTTAAAAGTTTACCTTATAGCTGGCTTTGATCACCTGCATAGCATCAGAGAGCTGCTGCTGATAGCTTCTCCGGAGAACAGATAATTTCTTAAAATAAACCAGACACCAAATTGAAGTCAAGTTCAATGCAGTAGTAATGATCATTACAGAAGAAACACATTTATTGGTGAAACTTGAATACAGACCTCTTTGTAGCAGTTTTCTTGATTTTTGATTTTCTCATTCATTCTTGAATAAAGGGCATCAGATTCTTCCTGCAGTTTGGTCTCATACTGGAAATCTATTATTTTCAGTTTCTTTTCAGTGCCTTCTTTAAACAAGTGCATTTCCTGAGATTAAATCAAATATTTTTAAACAGATTATTTAAGACAGAATATCTTGCTTTAGGTAGGAAATAAAAAATCAAACTCCCAACTACAAATATTCATTTATTATTGAGCTGCCATCACAATATTGTAGAGGATATCTTTCCCATAGTTCACTGTGAGTGATGGAACTAGAACGCATTTAGTAGAGCGTTTATTCGGCTGTAAGCCTGCTAATCAATATGTTTAACTCTGCAGGCTAGAGCATTCCTTGTGAAGGCACTGTTCTTCACCACAAAGCCACCATATGCCCTCTCAGCAGGTGACCTGGCAGCCCACAGTGAGGCCACTCAGCGCTAAAGTTAGAAGAATCTTGAACTAATAAGATGAAAAGCCAGCAGCATAAAGTGTATCTAGCGGAATGCACGGACAGTATCAGCTTTCTGTGGGTCTTTTTTGAGGCAAGAAGACAAACTTGCAGTTTTAGAGATGGCTGCAGATTGATTGCTAGCTGACAGATTGCTTCCTATTAAGTGTTATGAATGAAAAGACCACGATTACGATAATAAGGGACTGACTATTCATCTAAAGGTAGCCAGATACACACCTTCATAAGATCTGCAGTGTCGGCAGTGAGAATCTTTATATTTGGCAGCTCTGATTCGTCAGTTTGGACACAGGCATCTTGTCCAAAAAAACCTGCCCTCAACTGATTGGACAGAGAATACCTGAAGAGGGAGAAAGATCGTGTGCGGTGAAATTAAATTCAGATCCTAGTGAAAAGATCGGCATAGTTCACCGGCAAAACTTAGCTGAAGTTGATCTTGGATGCCTTCAGCAACTTTAACGTAGCAGCTAACGTTATACAGCTTGTTTGCAAGAGAGCAGAAAAACTTCTTACCGACTTATTTCGTCAATCTCTTTTGAAATCAGCGCCTCCTCGGCTTCATTCGCAATGCTGTTTATTCTCTTTTCGATAACGTCCATGACTCCAAACTACAGGGCATAAAATGCTATCGCACAATATTTTTGCTACAGATTTCTGGTGCGCAAAACGGTTGCCGTAGCAACAGAAACCAACGACTCAGATCACACTGCAACATGAGCCACTGAATAAAAGAAAAAAGGTAGTTTCGACTTTTTATCTCACAGTTTTGACTATTTTCTCGAAATCCTGACTTTGTCCCCTCAGAATTGAACTTTATATCTCCCAATTGCTAGTTTACATCTCACAATTCTGAGAAAAGAAGTCCACATTGCGAAATACCTAGCAATTGTGAGAGAGAAAAGTCAGAATGTGAGAAAAAAGTCGCAGTCTTTTAAATTATTATATTCCGTGGCGGTAACAAGCTTCCATAGGATACAGTCGTTTCACATGATAAATTATCTTTTTAATAGAACGATATAGAAAATAAAAGATACGTTCGCTTATTATAGCTATTAAAATAATAGCTAAATAATTTGATTATTTAAACTGGCCTGTATGTTACTATTATGTATTAATAATTTGACAGAATTTTCCGTATTTTTTTTTTTAACTTTATGTTTTAGGGTTAACGGAAAGGTCAGTAAAATTGCTGGATATTGTCCTGGTAATAAGCTACCAGTAGCCCACTTTTTCTAATTTAAGGATTTATTTGTATAGGCCTAGTGTAGGCTATGACACTTGAGCAGTAGGCTAGGCCTATATATTTAAAAATGTTGAGAACCATGTTCAAGTGTCATGTCAAATTATTAAGTTATTGTCTCAAGGTTGCACAGAGCCTAAGTGTTTAGTTTAAAACAGTTCACTGTAAAAAATAAATATCGAGCCAAGGGCTTGAGCCAAAAGCATTAAATTGCTTTAAATCTGCAGGGACTAAATTTGATTTAAATGGGACTGAAGGTACCTGCTCCACTCAGCAGTACAGATATTGACAAATGAAATTCCAAGTGCAATTCTGAAGCCCTTGATTAGCTCTAAACAGCTATCCTAATTCACCATGACAGCAGACTCTGTGTTAAGCATTTTTCATATCTCAGACTGAAGACAGACAATAGACTTTGCATGTGTTTACCTCCTTAATATATTTTAAGGGGGCTGCTGTGCACTTTCATGTCTCCAATCATAAAGCCCACTCTTCATTTTCAGACAAGGAAAAGTCCATTAAAATAGATTAGTCTGCCGTGGTCTGTCTAGATGGCATAGCCTAATCTCTTTGAGTCTGCTTAAACAGCATAATCCCTGATACTGAAATATACTCCCCTGCATGGTGTAAACCCTACCCTCAGTGAAGCAGTCACAACAGCAGACTCTAGGTATGTCCCCTCCCCCTCAGAGACAGCGTTGCTTCTACTGTAAGAGTCTGCCCTGGGGCAAGCCTTAGCCAATATGGCCCTTTAATTAATCAGTGTAGTCCTCTCAGTGGCTAATAGTGGAGATTTTTGGCCCCTATTTTCATAGCATGTAGATTTGTCATCTTCATTTTTTATGCAGTCCAAAGTGGTTTGTTATTTCATGCGGTTTTTGTAATGAAGATCAATAACTTACACCTCATTGAGTATCAGTCAGGCGTAAAGTGAGAGCAACCGTCTTGGACATGTTTCTTTAACACGTAAATAATTGTTTTCAGTGTATTCTTTTGTCTGATTGTCATTTTCAGCTCACAGGACAGGAGTATGATTTTGTATCGAAATGCTTGTTTGTACACAACTTTAAACTATATTGATCATAATGTGCTGTAAACAATTAAATCTGCAAAGATACAATATCATATTTATTTATTCAGAGGGACTCAGTCAAGTGTGATAAAGTGTCAATTCTAATTTACTTAAAATTTATTTAAAAAATAAATGTCGTTTCTCCATTTTGAGCGTAATTTATTGAAAACAAATACATAGGCCTACTGTTTAATTTGTATTATAAAACGGTTAGTTCCAATCCTTGATTCTGATTGGTCAATAGCTGTGCTTTATTCACGATAAAACCCTATTTTTTACAGTCTATGGATAAAACACGGCTATGACCGCTTCACCCAACGGTTCTATTCATCACTTCGCAACACTGCGGTTCCTATGCTGTTTTTATTTGAGCTTTCATGCATATTACACATTGGAACATTGTTGCTGTTCACGGTCAGGGACTATTTTATACCGGAAGGAAGGCTTTTAGTGATTTTACTTCATGAAAGTTGCACTTATACATTTTTTTTTACTTTAATATTTTTATTGTGTGGTAACCATTTTATAAAAGCAATAATAAAACTTTTTATAAAAATAATAATAAAACTCCACTTCGCGTCGTGCCTAACAACGCCCTTCAGCCGTTACTTATTCACGATACAGCACAGCCTCTCGTACCTTATTGCTTACATAAGTAATATTAAATTTTGTTCTAACAAGAAATTTACAATTTCACAATAATTTCTTAATTTAAAGATTAAAATGTAACATATATTTACAATAGTTTTTTTTTTTTTTTTACTTTAAACCACTCATATCTGTTAGCAAGAAATTGCTCTGAGTAGTTCAGCGTCATAATGATGAGGCAGGCATAACTTTACAGAAAATGGAGGGTATTTTTTAAAGCCAAGGCAAGCAACAAATTCCCTAAGACATGGTCCACCAGCTGACAATGAAAATCAGTCTTAATTCATTTATTCTGAACCAGCACTCTGCAAAAGCCTTGGGGCCCCAGTGCGAGCCTGAGGAGAGCTATGCTGAAAGGGGTGTTGTCACATGGACTCCATTCATGGGGACCATTCTGAGGAAGAATCAAATCTAACAGAATGACTGGGGAAATGGGTGCTCTCGGAAGGGACAACAAGATCATTATATTTGACTATTGACACTAATTTATGCAAATTATGAAAATGCTTAACAGATGTATTTATATATTGCACATTTATAGATGTCAACATGACACTCAGCAACATAAATGGATAAATGTTCCAGGTTCTCGTTAGTGTGCACACAGGGGTTCAGTTTCATGGGGCTTCTATGGATTTGCCATGCCAACAAATGAAATTAGTTTCATTGCAAATAGTTCATTTTAAGATGATTTCAGCTCATTATCAAATTAGGAATCAGATTTGACATTACTATTCTGGTTGATTCTACTCTAAAAGCTGTCACAATCACAAGGTCGCTTGTTGCTGCCCTCCACTGGTTAAAACGTCTGAACCTGCAAAGGAGTTATTCTTGCAAATAAAATAAAATACAAATAAACAATAAAACGGTCTTTTTAATGAACATTTATTTTTTTTACATTTATTTAAAAAAAATTACAACTTAAATGTTGGCTATTTCAGACACCTACAAATTTATAAAGAAAATAAAAAATGAAATTCATTTTTTTTGCTTAATACATAATTCTGACTCTTCATTTACATACTTCCTAATTAAATTGTTATCAATATGGGCACATAAGTAGTCACAGTAATCCCCATATTTACTAAACTGTAGAAAATAGGTCAGTGGGCAGTCTTTTTTTTTTTTTTTTTGCCCCAGCAGTCAGAAATAGGCAGGCTGCCAATTAATAATTTGTCATAATAAGAAATGTTCTCTAATTATTGAATTTGGTCATTAATTGTTATCTATTATAAGCAATAAAATACATTTCTTGTTCTTTTCTTTTGTTTAAACAGCAAAAATAACATGACAAAACTGTAAAACAAGTTAAATGGAATTGAAAAAAATAATTGATTTTAAAAAGTGTTTTTCTATTATTGTTTAAAGATGTTTTAATTTTATTAATTTTTTTGGAGGGTTATCTAATAAATTAGCACCTACTCTGTGATTGACCTATGTAATGCACAGCATGCAGAGAGTGGAAAAGGAACACATTCAACACAGACTTTGAATGAACCCCATGGGATCTAATCAGGGCCAGATTGTTTAGGAAACCAAAACGAGACATGCAGTCCCTAGAGAACACACCACTGGGAGGGGGGAAAACGTGATATTAACAAATGGCCTCTTGTGACATAAGCTAAAGCTTCCCTTCTGAATTTAAACAGAGAAAATAATTAGTTAGAGTTGGCAGCATATGACAGAGGTTCAAAATGGCATATGGCATAAGTTTGATTATTGCTGATGGTTTAGTCTTACCCTGGAGAAAGTGAGAACAACTAGGCTGACACAGAAATTGACTGAATAGCAAATATCCTGAACTTATTCGCTATTCATTTTGAATAAATGTATTGATTCATTTTGAAAAATGTAGCGTTTCTTTTTTGAAAATGTAGCGGTTCATTTTAGGAAAAGTAGCGATTCTTTTTTTTAAAGTAGTGATTCTTTTTTTTTAAAAGTAGCAAGCAAGTCTTTTTGAAAACGTAGCGATTCATTTTGAAAATGTATCGAATCGTTTTGAGAATGTATAGATTCATTTTGAAAATGTATCGATTCGTTTTGAAAATGTAGTGATTCTTTTTGAAAATACAGCGATTCTTGTTGAAAAGTAGTGATTCTTTTTGAAAATGTATCGACTAATTTTGAAAATTTAGCGATTCTTTTTGAAAAGTAGCGATTCTTTTTGAAAAAGTAGCGGTTCTTTTTTGAAAAAGTAGCGATTTATTTTGAAAAAGTACAGTCTTTTTGAAAAAGTAGCGAGTCTTTTTGAAAAAGTAGCGAGTCTTTTTTTTAAAAAAGTAGTGATTCTTTTTGAAAATGTGGCGAGTCTTTTGAAAATGTAGCGAGTCTTTTTGAAAAAGTAGCAAGTCTTTTAGCGAAATTGTGGTGATTGATTGTATGTATTGATGTATTTTGAATAAATGTAAAAATGTATTTTGAATGTAGCGATTCTTTTTGAAAAAGTAGTGATTCTTTTTGAAAAAGTAGCGAGTCTTTTTTGAAGTAGCAAGTCTTTTTGAAAAAGTAGCGATTCATTTTGAAAAAGTAGCGAGTCTTTTTGAAAAAGTAGCGATTCTTTTCTGAAAAAGTAGCGATTCTTTGAAAAAGTAGCGAGTCTTTTTGAAAAAGTAGCGAGTGTTTAGGAAAAAAGTAGTGTAAAAAATGTAATTATACATTTGTTACAGTCTTATTATACATTTATTACAATG